AAAGGTGTATTAAGCTTTACTTAATTGCTCTCTATTAAAGTGAACACTTTACAGAATACACATTACTATTTCTAATTAATATTCCTATTGTTAAGTTTTTTCATATAGACAGAAATGGCAGTTTAATTATTTTAATGAGAATTTCCACATTAATGTATGTCAATTAGTAATTTTTAAGCAAAGGTAAGGTTTAATCTGACTTATGTCTGAATGATTAAGAAAAATCAATTCAATCAAAATCAATTTTAGGCAGTTTTTCTATGCTAGTAGCATTTCCAGACAGGGTTTTTTCTATTCTGAGAGAGAAGACGTGGATTTCTAGGGGTAAGAGGGAAAGTGAAAATCACTCAGTCATGTCTGACCCTCTTTGCAACCTCATGGACTATACAGTCCATGGAATTCTCCAGGCAGAATACTGGAGTGGGTAGCTGTTTCCTTCTCCAGGGGATCTTCCCAATCCAGGGATCAAAACCAGATCTCCCACATTGCAGGCAGAATCTTTAACAGCTGAGTCACAAAGGAACCTATCAATAAAGATGCAAAGTTCTCTATCCCTTGGGATAACAGCTCCTTGCTGTTGTTGTTTAGTCACCAAGTTGTGTCCGACTCTTTTGCGACCCTGTGGACTTCAGCCAACCAGGCTCCTCTGTCCATGGGAATTCCCAGGCAAGAATACTAGAGTGGGTGGCCACTTCCTCCTCCGAGGGATCTTCCCAACGCAAGGATGGAAATTGCACCTCCTGCACTGCAGGCGGATTCTTCACCACTGAGACACCTGGGGAGCCCAACAGCTCCCACTACCTCGAAATAAAGCAAAGTCACTTGTGGAATAAAACCTCCTAGGCCCATGTAGAAGGGGGAGAGGCTGCGAGTCAAGACACAGACTTTACTGTGTATGGGACATTCTCTTATTCACAGTACTTGATGTGGGGGGGAAACTCTTAAGTATTTTCAGAAATGAGTGATTTTACCCTGCTCAGCATGAATCTAAGTCTGATACCATTAACCTAGGCAAAAAAATTCATTTTCCCTTAGGAGTGGAAAGAATTGTGCATATACTCTCTTTTTACTACGCTCCCTAGTATCAAAAGCTAAAAACATCTTGTAATATCCACACTTTACTTACTAGCTCATTATTAGGGATAACACGGGCAGGCTTTACTCATCATGATTGCCTCTTATCACCAGCAATGTAAGCTGCTGGGACATTAACTCAACCAGGAAAAAAAAGTGAAGCTTAAGAGAACTGCCACCTTGAATCTTTAACCTATAAATGCCACTGTACATAACAAATCTCTAACATAAGGTCAACTTATTAAGTTTTTCTAATTTCTAAGCCACACCTTTTAAAAAGTGAAGACAGTATGAACTTTTTACTCCAAATGCTAAATTGTCATTAAAATAAAACCACGATTAATATTCCAGTTAAGAGCATTATCCACAAGATTATGAAGGTAAAAGGATGAAATCAAATGGAACTCTGCATGGAAAAGTACCAAGTATTTAGAAAACCCATATACATTTTGACAGTTCCTAAGTGTTAGGTCTTGTCAGGTCTTAGACTCACTGTTACAAATTACCTGCAAAACAAAAAAACAGATTCCTACACTGATTGAGTCGATCTGAAGTGGGTCCCAGAATCTGTATATCTAACTCATCCTCCTTGTGATTTTGCAACCAAGTTTGGGAATAACTGCTTCAGATTTCTCAGTGCCTACGGGACTCTGCTTCACTCATTACAGAAATAGTGAATATTTGCCATCTATTCAACATACCATCCATCTATTACACAAAACCCTACTGGGCTAATGCTACTAGGAAGCCCCAGGAAAAACTGCTAAATAAACCATCTTTCACAGAGCTTGATTCACTGTTTCAATATTCCAATAAATAGGAATTCTACCAAATGCAGAGGCGGCTCGGAAGACATGACAGAAACCTGTGCTCAAGGAGTGTACCAATACTTGTATACTTATAAATGACATATATATTAATTAATCTACTGCAGCTTTCTAAAGGAAAATATGGTGTCATGGTAACAGTCTTAGGGTAGATATCAAAAGACAAAGATTTGAGTCACAGCTCTGACTTCAACCGCCTGGTCTAAGCTAAACTCTGTGACTGCCACTTAAGTCTCAACTTTTTTACTGCGGGTAGAGGTTAATGCTTAAGTCTGAATTATATATGGGTCCCCTTCAATCTCCAAACTTCTGTGATCCCTCATGGACTATTTCAAAAGAAGGGAGAGACCCAACCTGAGTCAGAAAAACCCAGAAAGGCAGCAGCAAGAAGAACTTCAGATGGACTCCAAAAGACGGGATGGCCACTATGAAACTGAGTGAGAAAGAATATGCCAGGGGAGCCATAAAAGTGTATGTGCAGAGGTTGTGAATAAGATGAACTTGCCATGGAAGAGCCAGTCTGACCACCATGGAGAACAGTAATCAGTGATAATGCTGGGTCGCTCCAAAGTTAAGCCAAATGATACGGTAAAACAGTAGGGGAATGGAAGAGAATTTTGAGTGAGAAGCAATATGAGGAAAGTGGTGTTTTTATAACATTAGCTTCAGAGCCTCCACCAGGATGGACTGCAGAAAGCAAAAAGAAACTGATTCACAGAATAGGAAACAGAAAGGCTTAAATACAGCTTCTAAAAACTATGAAAGCAGTGAATACCAGGAAAAACCTGGTTCAGATGTTGCATGAGAACACACAACACATCTAATTGAAAAAAACCAGAAAGAACAGATAGACAAAAATGGTGCTATGTAGTTTTGGGAAATGGTCTGCTTTGCCTCAGACAAACCGGGGCCAAACTGAGGATACCAGCTGTTATCTGATATTTCTGTCGGAACCAAATGAGAGGGGTGGGAAAGAAGTAGCCTGCTGTTTACTGACCACGCCCACCCCCATCCCAGAAAATCTGAAGAGAAGGGGCAGATGTCATGCTGAAAAAGCCACAAGGCATGACTGTCCTTTCTTGCATGTATTCTGCCTGAGCAGCTGGGCCCTGAAGAGAAGGCCGGGTGACAGGCAATGAGGAAGCAGCTGTCACCAGTGGTCTCTCTGCAGGCCATGGACATTTCTTCTATGGAGACCCATTTCTCCTGCATTTCTACCTTCGTGTGGACCTTACTGCAAAAAGAACTGATGTAGAGCAAAAACACTGACCCACTAGAGTGAAACGAGGGTGCTTATTTCTGGAATGGAGAAAAGGGCGTGTCAATCCAACCATCAATATTCAATTTTTTTAACCACGATTCGTGAGCAACAATCCTGAAGTCAACAGACACTGGGGCGCCTCACTAAAATCTGCAGTAGGACAGAGTGTTTGCAAAACAACAGGAAAAGGTAACTGGACACGGGATGTCTTTTTAAAGATACTTGATCATTACACTTAGAAATACTATTAAAAGGTTCATCTCTGTAACACAAACAGTAGGCAAAGAAGAGTAGACAATTAGAAAAAACACTCCAGATTGCAAACCAAGGTCAAAACAAACAAGTCCTTTGTGAACTTAGAATATAGTAGAAATCTAGTAACTAGACATTTCATACTTAGGACATTTTCTTGACCAAGAAGCATGTAGAATCTCAGACATCTTACATCCATGTATATTTGGGGGTCACTGCATACAGTTTCCTTTAGATGAGACAGAGGTGGGAGGCATCTTTCCTCCAAGCCAATAAATATAAAGAATGAGATGTCAAAACTACCCCAGGCTAATGAATTACCTTAACTGACAACTCTGAGAGAAGCAACTTTTAAACACAAAGATGACACTGCATTTCCAGATACCTGAAAAAATGAGCAGAAATCTCCTAGACAAGCCTCTAAGCAAGATGGATACCACAGTCAGCCTTGACTGACTTCCCCTCACCACTCCAGGCTATGGTCTAAGCTGACTTCTTAAATCAAGGGTGGAAAATAGGTTCCAACTTCAGTCAATTGATAGAGGTTGTCTGGAGCACTATTTTGACAAATATCTGGAAGCCACATCCGGACTCAGTGAGAAAGGCTGCCATGATTGATCGGGAATGTCTGAACTGGGCAGAAGAGGGAAAATTGATGGCACGTGTACTAAGCGTTTGCCAGAGGCAACATCCCTTTTATCTTCTAAAGGGAAAGAGATCTACACAGCAAACTGTATTAACTTCTTATCCAGAGAGAATTTACATCAGAATTTCAAAAATTCAAAAAGGCAGGGAAAACATCCATAAAGTTATTTACTGTTTGTCACGAAAAGACAACTATAACAGAAAAAAAAATAACCTGTGTGGCATATACACTCTCCTAGTCAGTCTCCTCAAAGTAAGCTGAGTCTGCTAGACTAGAGTCAAACAATAGCTCAAGGACCTACTTTTCTATGACCTGAGAACTAAAAAGGATTTTTACATTTGATAATGGCCTGCAAAGCTAACATATTTATTGCCTGTTGATCAAAACTGTTGATCCCTGTGCTAGAAGAAACAGATACGGTTTTTTCAAGTTAGAGGCAAGTAATTCTCTATAAAGGATGGAAATTTAATTCAGTAAGTTTCATAACATACTTATCTAAGAAAGTTGCTGCTCTGTCCCTTTGTTAATACACAAGTAATTAATGGGTTGGCCAAAAAGTTCATTGGGGGGTTTCTGTAAATTATAATGGAAAAAGTAGAAAGAACTTTTTGCCCAATGCAATACATGTAGTTGGAGAAGGAAATGGCAACCCACTCCAGTATTCTTGCCTGGAGAATCCCATGGACAGAGGAGTCTGGTGGACTACTGTTCATGGGGTCAGAGAGAGTCGGACACGACTGAAGGAGTAAGGTCAGCACACACATGCAGTACTCATGAATTAAGTTCCCCCCCATCAGGCAACAAACCAAAACATTCTGCTATGCCTCCCAGAGAAGTGTCTATATGGGCACAAAACCAATAAAGGAAAGAACTACAAAGAGACCTTAATTTTTTTCAACCTCTGTTCTGTGAGTAGATATTAAAAAAAATGTAAACATACTTTTATTGTTTTGGTTTGAAGTCTCAATCCATTCAGGGTGTTGATAGCTTTCTCTGCATCCTTAGGGTCAATGTAGTTCACAAAGCCATATCCCAAGCTCTGCCCTAATGAAAGGGAAGGGGAGAAAGGCATACGTTAGTTCTCCACCGCTGATGACAGACATCCACGTTCGTTCTGGCATGAAGTCTTGTCATTAATGCCAGTAGATTTTCTCAGGAGTAAAAAGAAGTCTACATTAATTCTAGAAATACACATGTGGCCTTTTTCATCTCCTGTCTATTTCAGCTTCAAGTTTAAACATCAGTTAGAACACAGCAAGCTGTGCTGTTTAAAACACACACATCCCCAGTGCTCCACCACACACGCCCTGCCTGAGCCCCAGCGCCCAGCAGCGAGGCAGCTGTGGTGCAAGTCTCCACGGAGCCGCTGTGTGGGCTTCACGGGCACGCCTTGTTCAGCTTCCGTTTCCTTGCACATAAAACTGGAAAGTGAAAAGCATCAACCAAGAATCTGTCAGTGTTCTGTACACATTACCCTGATAAATTTACAGCCTTTACCAAGTACAATTATTTCAGAGTCTAAACTAGTGGAGAATCATGCGTATGTGTGTGTGTACATGTAATCTATGTGTGTGTGTGTGCCTAAGTACATTAATTTTAGAGGAGAGCTTATTCAACTAAACTAAATCCAATTTACTAAAGGGGTCTGAAAACCTAGCAAAGGAATAAAAGGAAATATGAATACAAAGATTTATGGTTGAAGACAAACAAACCCATAAAAATATGTGGAAAAGAAAAGAAAAAAAATAAAAACGTAACAGAAAAATTTTGGAATAAGAGTTGCTTCTAAATGAGCCTGTCGTTGCTTTTATCCATCATCTAAGACCTCTCTCGTCCTCGGCTCACTGATGTGTCCCGACTCTCAGGGAACAGGAAATAACATGAGATTGGAATCAATGGAATGCACAGACAAGTAAAGTCAACCCTAAAGGTCTCCATTTTTCAACTAAAAGAAAGCTTCTCAGTTTGACAAAACAAAAAATACTAAAAAGGTGGTGACAAAAATGGACATTTAAAGGTTTAGTCTATTAAAAGTCAAACCAAACCAATTGAGGGTTTCCTGGAAGATTCTCAGTAAAGGTCCAAATGCTTTCTATAAACTACCATTTTTGGATCAATTTCATAGCAAAGTGAGAGAATATTTTTTCTTTTAAGTGGTACCTTAGGTCTAAGTATTTATGAATACAGGTATTTAGAAAGGCCACTGTGGTTTTCCTAACGTGGTTCCTCACACGTATATAAAGAGAGGGAGGGAGAGAGAAAACTAAATATAATGCCTAATAACCATGAAAACTTGTGATTATATTTTGAGGACCACTATCATTTTAAGGGGATAATCATTGCTAACTTGTATCTTTAATCAAACCGCATTTTTTCCTATTTTTACAAAAGGGGGTGAGGGGAGATCTAAAACTCAGTTCATTAATTTTTTTCATCACACTACTCACAGAAATTGTGTATTACTCAAAGATCTGATTTTTAAAAGTTGCATGTGAATCACTGTAGTTTTAAGCATTCAGCTTTTTTCTAATTTGACATTTATCATGTGTCTACTGCATGCACAGTGCCCTCTTATGAAATGTGCTGCGGTTCTGTTATCACTGAGCACGATTCAAATTGGCTGAACATTAAAAAATCTGCTCAAGGAATCTGTTTATGATGGAAAGAATATGGGCTAGGAGATACACACACATAAGTTCTAATTCCAGCTCCACTGTTTTCCAGCTGTGTGACTTTGAAGAGACAACGTAACCTCTCTGAGTCATTAACTTCCTTATTTCTAGAATGAGGATAATTCCTACCCCATGAGACTGCTGAGTCAGTGATGAGAACTTTCACTATCAATGGAGATAGACCACTCCAGTGAAAAAATAAAGGAAAAATAACATGTCTACTACATGTCAAGGAGTTTACACACATTCATTTAAAATTAAACCAGACACGATGCTACCAAAATAACAGGGGAAGGAAAGGCAAAGTGAACACTGTGTGGTTTTCCACGCTGCTATTCTATAACAAAATAAACCAAATTATCAACTGTACAAGCACTGAGTCCATTTCTCCTATCTACTGGCACTACACTAACACTTATATTTTACCAGCTTCTAATCAAAGTCCTTTCTCAATCTTGGTACACTGGAATCATCCACAGAGCTTAAAAAACAAAAACAGAAACTGATGTCGGCATCCCTTTCCCCCAATTTTTTTTTAAATTGGTCTATTACAAACCAGGTTTCTTAAATCCTAGTGACTCTAACACATGTAGTCAAGGCTGAAAATCACAGTTTTAACAGTGAGAGAGAATCTGAGACTGCAAATAAGGATTCTGGGAGCCCTAAGAAGGGCCAGATGCTGATGGTCTGGGTATGAAGTGACTCTGCAGTGAAGACTGCCTGCCTTTTGGCAGATGCATTTTAAAATATTAGTAGATGTCCTTCTTCTAAATCCCTCAAGTCATCCATGACTTCAGAGCAGCAGCTTATTGCCTCCTGAGATCACTCTGGCACAGCAGGGGCCTGCTGGAGTTGTGCTGCTGGGTAAAGTCAAAATCCTGTCTGCTTAGCCATCTCTTGCCCTTCCTCTAGGCTCTTACTCCTAACACATTGGGGGCACTCAAAAAGTTTGCTAATGCACGAATGAGAAGCCCAGTGGTTGTTATTCATTTAACCAAAGGCAACATCATCAATGGACTTCCCTGCTGGCTAAGACAGTAAAGAATATGCCTGCAATGCAGGAGACCAGGGTTCTATCGCTGGGTTGGGAAGATCCCTTGGAGAAGGGAATGGCAACCAACTCCAGTATTCCTGCCAGGGAAATTCCACTGACAGAGGAACCCGGCAGGCTACATACAGTCCATGGGATTGCAAAGAGTTGGGCACGACTGAGTGACTAACACTTTTTGATGTCATCCACATCACCATCAGATGATCCAGCCATTGAATGAGTCTTTGATCTGACTCCCTCAAGCAGCCATGGCTAACTTTAATGATGAGTCAACCAAATTTCAACTACTGGAAACGGAGTACACTCAAACAATATTTATCGTTAAACGAGCTCTCTGACACAAAGTTTCTACCTTGTTTAGCGGTAGTTTTCGGAAGAGCAACACTCATCAATTAGTATTTAAGGTAAGCAAAATGTTATCACTACCCTAAGCAAAATAATATGAAGGGAGATAATTGCTGCTAAATGGCTTCATTCCTAAATCCACTGCAGTAGATGCACTAACATGTTGGCACTGGAACTATAAGGGAGTTAGTAACTTCACAGATTTTCATTTTCAAGTGAGCTAATCAAGTCAGCAAACATGTACTGAATGCTTAAAATATATAAAGGCATCACAAATGATACAAAGATAGGCAAGACTCTCCCCATTCTCATTTTTCAGCTGTGTGGTGTTTTAGGGTTTAATTTTAGCCTCACATTGATCTCGTGAGATATTCATTTTTCTTCTGGAAGGAAGTAATGGTATCTGAAGATGGGTAAGGTCGATCAGTATCCTCAAATCGAGGAAAAAAAAAACAAAAAAAAACAGGCAGAAAGCAGTCATCAGAACCTGAATCCAAGAATCTCAAACACTATGTTCTTCTCTCAATTCACGACTAGTTTATATATGAACCTGGACCATCTTCAGTATGCTTGAAATATAATGTAACCACGCATTTTCTAACAAAGCTCTACCAAAAAAGACTTGTTTCGAGACAGTTGCCTACTGTCTTAAATTCCAGTACTTCTTGTGCAAGTATCAATTTCAGTCTATGTGAATTTTTATGCTGCTATTCCTATGACAGTGTAAAGTCACCTTGTTTACATAGTGCCTGTTTCAGGTTATTAAGAGTGCAGATTTTTAAAAAATAAAAGCAGAAGGAAGTCAAACATCAAGAACAAAATATTTAGAACCACTTTCTCCCACTTTTGCATGCATCAGCTAGTAACAGTCATAAACTACCAAGGAAGGCTTGGAAACCAAGCATCATTTATCCATATCCTCCAAGTCTATTTTTCAAGTCATTCTGAATTTAGAATGTGCATATTGACAATCTCAAAACCAAAAATCACTTCTTTAAAAAACTTACAAAGCTCTACATTTAAATTCCAAGTATAACAATTATGGAAACCACCATGATCAAAAGAAATTCTGAACAAAATAACAAAGCCAAGGCTTACCCCCCAAAAAAGCCTTCAAGACCAAAAAATCCTGTCTTTAGAAGTCAGAAAGTTCCTCTGGTAGCTGAACATCAAGAATAAGGTCAACTCCACTAGTCCTCACAAGCTACCTGTGGCCCCATGGTCCTTAAGAGATTTTGAAACCATTCATCTTAGCCTTGGTCCTAACAGCCATGGCAGGGATTCTAGAACGTCACTACAGAGGAAGCCTTCTGAACAGTCATAGGCCTATGGCTTCAAGCAGGTACTGAAAACTCCAGGTCAATACTGCACTTCAGCACATGGTATTCTGTATAGCATGTGAACGTGAATGGCTTTTGTTTCGCACCCTTCCTTTTAATCTAAACACATGCCACAGAGAAGGATGGCTTCTTCACAAAAGACAGAAAAATCCCTTATGAACTGCTCCTTGGCATAAGGAAAACAGCTATAAACAGGCTGCTTAGAACCATGGTCAAGTGATCTGAAGCGCAGAGCTGAGACACTCCAAGGGTCTCTGAAGGGGGCTGAGGCGCAGGCAGCTGCATGGGAGTCAGAGCAGGAAGAGGAAAACAGGCAGAGAATCCGTTTAGTGACAAAGTGCTAGTGGGAAACACAGTCAACTCCAATTTATCCCAAACTGTGCATAACTCAAAGCAGCAGCCGTTCCCTTGCCACCTACATTGCTTTTAATAGCACACTTTAATTAAAAATTTAATTGCATATTTTAATTAAAAATACACAATCTTCTGAACCCATTTAATTCAAAGGTCACTTTATTTAGTCTTTTCTATTTCAAATAACTACCAATGTTCTGAATATCAAATCACCCCCTCAGGTTTAAAGGTAAAGGCAATAGATCACCATAATTCTTGATTACAAACCTGGTACATTAATTT